AACTTGTTTGGAAGTGGAGATGATGGAGATGAAAGTGTGTACCTAAAGCAAAAATTTTATTAAAATGAAGTTTAGGCCTTCATTTGCTTATTTCTCATATATTATCGACAAAAAAGCCTGACAAAGCAACATTTTAACACAAATGCAACAAAACATCTTTGTACAATTGAAAATACTGCTTCAAACAGGCATTTTATCATACTACATCAGTTTCTAACTGTTTAGAAAAGGTTTTGAGTATTACATGTAACCCAAAACGAAAATTGGGATCAAAACTCATAGGAATGTTTAGGTTTTGGCGCTTTTTGCCATTATTGCTCAGTATTGAAAAAAAATTACCTCTTAAGCAATTATAAACGAGAGCTCAATAAAGCGATTCAGAAAAGAGACAGTAGACTTTTGAAAATTCAAACCATAATTGATGAAAAAGAACGCGGAGACATCGAACTAAAATCTGAAGAACTCAGAAATGCTCACATTGACCTTAGAGCAACTGAAAACGCGAGCTAAAAGCGATTTGGATTACGCTTTGAACAGAATCGGAAGATCGAAAACTTATCAATCAGTTAAACACTTTTCAGCAAATTCAGAGACCTCTTCCCATTCGATCAACAAACACTTGGACATTCTTTAATTAGACATTTTCTTTTTACCACATGTTTGAGATAAGACTAGATGTGCACCAGACAGACATAAGTACTGAAGGACAGTGGCCGAGTAAGGAATCCCGACTGATAGCCAAAACGACTAAGGAAAGTCCTTTTGGTCAAGCCGAACTACACCGAAACTTAGCTTTGTTCACAACTAAGTATAAGATTGAATGCACAGAAATAGTGCCCTTTGGACAAAAAAATGCTACCTTTTTGTACAAACTTGAAACTTCGTCAAAATAATCCATACTACTCTATTAATCAACTGTAGACATTTTTTCTTCATATTCCGACGGAAAGTTTGAAAATTTTGCTTTTTTAGTACCGTCCGCCATAGTCTACTTTTTTGAGTTTTTAATGCCATTACCAAAATAAAGATATTTAATTTATATAACTATATTTAATTTTGGTTGAGGGGTGAGAAAAAAACTTGGTAAAAACTCTTTTTCTAGTCTAGTTATGCAGAGTTGCATTTATTTGAGAAATGCCTCGCTTAATTTCTTCCCCTTAATAAAAAAGAAAAGAAAAACTTCATCCGTCAGCACAAGTAAGAGCGCAGCTGCTTTCAACTTTTACAATTTGTTTCGATGTAGTTCTATATAAGAATCATAGAAAACTTGTCCTCCGTTTCTACTCCGACGAAGGACTAGCGTCCGAAACGTCAGTAAGTTTTTTCATCTTTCGACGGTGTAAAATTTACCCTTTTATCATACTGTTTTATTAGAAACACCGGCGCAGCTCACACTAGTTTTTAGCTAGTTGGTATCTCTTCTTATTAGGGAATGTATRGGAGATATCATGAAGATATTACAATAAAATGTTTCAATCAACAATTTGCTTTAAAACTTGATACAGTTGTTACTTGTACATTGTTCAACAGTCTGGCGAAGTTTCAGCGCGATTTGAGGCCGTTTAGTGAGTTTTTTCGAAATCTGCTCTTCTCCTATTATTTAAAGAGAGAAACTGAAACTTCGCTAACAGCAAAATGCGGCAAAAGCTGAGCAT